TAACGCGCTGCAGCCGTGGCAATCATCAGCAATTAGCCCTTTTGGGAGCTCGGCTTGGAACGCTGCAGAGGCTTTTCCGTGCGTGCCTGCTGCTCCTTTGGAAGTGATGCGAGTTGGACATGCCAAACCGCTGGTCATGTCTGAGCAGAGCTGGGTGCCTCGTGTCGTTTCCATGAGGCTGGGAGGGCTCGGGGGGATGTCTGTGAATGTTAAAGGCACTTGTGGACCCGAGCAGTGAACGCACATGCTGTCATTACCTCTGCAATGCCATCTGGCCAGCAGCAACGCAGCTCCAACCAGGGCTGTACGCAGAAGAACATTTTACAACAGAAAGCAATTAACCGAATAAAGCCCTTTATAAAATCCAGTAATTAAAAGCAGTCCCTCCCCCTTGTTTTCCTTTTAAGCTGAAAGTTGCTGTTTACTCATTTGCTTTACAAAGTGTGCCTTGTTGTGGCTTCAGAAGAAATGAAAGTTTGAAGTGGTTAGAGAAGAAAGGCTTTGGGGCTGGTGCGTTCCAGGCAGGGCGGAGGGGCAGGGGCTCTCCAGCCCGGCTTGTTTGTATTTGTTCTTGTCTACTCACAAGATCGCTAAACACACATTTAACAAGTGGTGAAACTGTCTAACCAGGCTGATCCCTCCCAGGCTTCCTGGGAAGAGCCCTGGCACATTAGCATCGCTGGGGGAACGGGAGGGGGGCACAGCCCTTTTGGTGTTGTGGGGCTGAGGGAAAGGCTCCTTGTGCAGGCCAAGGAGCAAACAAAGGCGTTGTGTTCCCCGAGCCCTCGGGCCTGGCCCCGGGGGAAGGACAGGGCCTCCCTGCTTCACCAGCCTCTGTTTTCCCATCCTGGCTCTTGATGCTGTAGCTCGGGTGCAGCCTCAAGGGCACCCGTGTCCTTCCAGTGCCTAGAGACCAGAATGGGGCTGGAAGTCAAGAGCCCAGCTGCCCACCGCACTGTTCACACAGACCATCCTGGTACAGACAAAGACACCTCACCTTGTCTGCATTGCCCTCTCCAGATGTGAAACACCAGAGAGGAGCAAACCTTTGTCCATCAACACATCATCGCTCACTGCTGCTCCTCCGTCCAGTGAGCGCCCAGTGTGCTGGCACCAGGATGGGTGGGGAAACTCAGTCACATCAAGGGCAGCCAGGACTAAAGTGCTGGTGTCTGACACAGTCCATTGGGATGCTGATTCTGGAGCAGAGGTTGATCCTGTCCCTGGCCATCACCCAGCCCCACTCACCAGAGCCACCTTATGCATGGTGTTCACGGCTGCATGTTTCAGCCTTTCCCTAGGCACAGGCTCATGGGGACAAGCATCATCTTATGGGGCAGGAGCTCTTGCTGGGACAGCAGCACCCCTGAGCTGTCCCAAGCCCCATCCCATGGTGTTTCCACAGCTGCCCAGGCGGAACCGCATTCCTGGCTGCTGGAACAGACCTGCTGCAGGGCAATAGGTGTGAGGACACAGCGCTGGCGGGGTGGCGAGCACAGCACCGAGGTGCAGGATCTGCCCCGTCCCTGCCTGGGGAAGGGTGAGGCACCGGGTTTGTGGGAAAATGTTGTTTCTCCCTCCCCTGGCCTGCCCCAAGCCGTCGCTGGGCCGGCTCTGAACTGCGGGGGCCGGGGAAGCAGGGGGGGAGTCAACAATTGTGGTGCCTCTGGCTTGGAGCACAGCCACGGCAAACAATCCTCTCCTGGCTGCCCTCCAGATCTGACAACACACGGAGGTGATAGCGCATTCCTACCTACACGCTTTCATCCCCCATCACCTCCCGAACGCCCTGCCTGACTCTGCTGCCTGTGATGAATCCCTCTGCTCAGCCACGGAACAAGACAGCCTGTCCACAGCGCTGCAGCCAGGAATCCCAGCCAGCATCCCTGCGAGGCCTCCGCTTTTGCAATTACAGCTGTGGGTCTGGCAGCCAGTGGTGGGACCTGAGGTTAGGGAGGTGATGTTGACTGAAGATGTGCGGACAGGGCATTCCAGGCATGCACGGGGTTAAACCAGAGGTGTCAGTTCATGGGGAGGTAACAGATAAGTCCTGCTCCTGCTGCCTCTGGCTCTGCAGAAGCCTTGCTCTCCCTCCCACATTCCAGCTGCTGCAGCTTTTCACAGCTGGCTGCTCTCTGGGGACATTTCCCAGAGCTGAGCAGGAGGGAGGGGAAGGAGCAGGACGGGGGGGGGGTTGGTGTCTGGTCTGACTGTGCCCCCCCTCCAGGGAACCTTGGGCGGGAGCCCTTCACCCCCAGGAGTGGGCTTGGCACCGCCAAACCTGGGCAATCCCAGGTCCCTGGCAGGGATCCACCCTCAGCCCTGGCCGGGAGAGTTTTTCCTGCTGCAGAGACAGGACATCAATCTTTGCAGCTCACTTATTCCTTGGCCTCTGAAGCAGGGTAGCCAATTAGTGCTGGGTGTGATGGATGGCTTAGCCCCATCCTCGTGACACCCATCCCCTGGAAACGGTTCCCACCACCAGAGGCACAGGCAGCAGGAGCAGGGACAGCTCTCACCAGCCTCCAGCCCCTGAGGGTCTCACAGGGGTGCTGGGCCTGGGGACAAGCACTGCAGCAATGCTCGCTGAGCAACCAGAGGCTGTGCAGGAGGGGAAGCAGCCCTCGACACTGGGCCAGCGTTCATCATTCAGGGCTTGGGGAGAGATTTCCTCTAATAACTCCCTGGCTTGGCTGTGGCAAAGCCTGTAGCTCTGGGAAGAGCAGAGCGGCTTGGGGAGGAGGTTGGTCACCCAGTTTGTGGCTCTGTGCTTGGTCAGGCTTTGCGGAATAGCTTGCGTGGCTGCTCAGTGAGAGGCAAGGAGGTGGCAGAAACCCCATTTTTGCTCTTAGACCCCATCTCCCCTTCCCCAGCATCATCCCCTGTCCCACTCTCTGCTGCAAGACATGGGTGATGCCTACGAAAACCCAGCTTCCCTCGCACGCAGCTTCACCCTTCCCTGTGACCTCCATTCAAACGATCTCGAGGGGTCTCAGCACCATCCCTGCATCCATCCTGGGTGGTTCAGATGGACCTTGGGATCTCCCAGGGCTTGCCGGTGGCCATTATAAATGACTCTCTAGAAGCACAGGCTGGAAAATGGATCTGATTACAGGAGAAGTGGGTTTCGGCCCCTCTCTGTTCATAATGAAGTGTAATCCTAGAGAAACATGTTGCCAGTTACACTTCAATTGAACCCAGATAATGACACTTGAACAAGAAGGCTTAGTCCAGGAAAGACAGAGCCTGGACAGTGAATTCCTTTCTAATGGAGACGAAAAGTGTTCCTCCGTGGCAGTCTGGGCTCCGCTTGGTTCGGGCTCTTTGTGGTATGTGCAAGAGCTTGAAATAACCAGTCTCTGGATCCCATTTAAATGGTTTTATCAGTGGAAAGGGTATTAATCTCTCAAAAACACATGTTTATGGGAAGTTTAGTTTGGAGATAAATGTATTTTGAAGTGAAATCACTTTGGAAAGGAGAAGTGGGTCTCAAACTTGCTAAAATAACACTAATTCTGCTTCAAAGTAACTCCACTTTGAAATGTGAGCTAATAACAGCTCGGTTTCTTGACCACTTATAGGGAAATCAAAACATCCAACATTACATAAACCAAGTGCCATATCCTAAAGCAAATGCTTTATTCTCATTCAGGGGGGTACAAACGCTTCCCAGACCTCAGATTTCCACCCCAGCGCGGGGTGGCTGGACCAGGGCTCCGTTCCTTCACTTGGGGAGGGAGGAGCAGGAGCACCCGGCCCCAGCGCTGATGGGCTGTTATCACCGCCACGGTCTCTGCAACAGGCTTTGGGAAACCCACGTGGTGCCAGATCCCAGCGCCGATTATTTTATGGTGTTTTTTTTTTCCAACTAAAAGGCGTTATTTTTGTACTGTGAACTTCCACTTCAGTGCTCTCCCGCCTCCCCTCTGCCTCCCCCCCGCCCCAAACCCCCCCGTTATTGATGCCTTGGGGGATTTTAGCAGCACAGGACTCTGAAAACCAGCCACAGCCTCCTCCTGCAACCTCAGGGAAGGCGAGATGCTCTCTAGGAGCCAGGCTGTGGCTCGGAGTTTCCGGCGTTACGGGATGAGACAAGAAAACAGCGATTCACCCTGGTGTCATAAAACCTAACATCGTGTTTGGTTGGTTTGGTTTACAGGGTAGGTGGTGGATGCCCCTGCAGTGCCATGAGCTGGCACTCGAAGATGCTCCAGGGCTGGGAGCTGAGCTCCTAGTGGGACCAGGACCCATTGCAATGGTCCAGCATCATGCTGGACCCATCCTGATGCTTCCAACAGTAGTGCCACCACTGTTGTCCTGTCCCTCAGGGTTTAATGGCAGCGGAGGGCTCTTTGCACAACGTCCTCAAACATCCCCGTGCTTTCAGGGAGCTGGTTTCCATCTGAATCATGAGCCTCCGAGAGTGCCTGCGCCCAGCGCGGGGCAGACATGTGTGTGCGTGTGGGGCTGGATGTTGATTTTTCCCTGAAACAACTCAAGGCTTTATCAGTCCCATCTCTTTCCCACGGTTTTCTGTTGCCAGTGAGGTCACTGGTCCCTTTAAACTGGGGCTGAGGCCAACGTGCGGCGGGTGGAAGGGGGGCGGCGGGGACATGAGACGGTTCACACAGACTGTTCCTTTTACAGGAAGACTTGGGATTTCGACCAGCGAGCGGGAGGAGGCGGGAGGGGGGGCCTGGGAACCTGGGCCGCGCAATCCGTCACTCCCGGCGGATGGTGCCTCATTAACCCGTTCACCGGGGGGCCGGGGCGCGGCAGGGTGTGGAAAGCGGAGGGCGGGCAGGGGAGGGGTTGGTCCTGAGCAGCTCCTCCGCGTTAGACCGGGTTGCGGCTGCACTCGCTGCCCCGAGGACGGCGGGAGAAGGAAGGAAGGAAGGAAGGAAGGAGGGAGGACGGACGGCGGCGGCGGCGGCGGCGGCGGCGGTGGTGGTGGTGGTGGTGGTGGTGGTGGTGGTGGTGGTGATTGAGGGCAGCCAAGCCGAGCCCGTCCGGTGCCGCCGGCAGCATGAAGCGGTTGTGCGAGGAGAGCTCCTCCGACACGGAGTCGGACGGCACTATCGACGTGGGCCGGGAGGAGGAGTACCGGTGAGGGCTCGGGGTCGGCGGCGGAGTTTGCGGGGGGGTCCCAGCACTGGGCACGGCTGCGGGCACGGCTGGAGGGCGGCTCCGTTCACCTCGGTTAACCCCGCCGGGCCGGGCCGGGCCGGGCTGGTACTGCCGTGGACAGGAAGGGCAGGGGGGACCAGGTCACCCCAACCTGCGTGTATGGGGAGACCGGGCGGGGGAAGCCCCGTCGCGACGCAGGTATCGAAGCTGTTACGAGCTGATTGAGCTCAAGGAAGCGCCTCGCTAAAGCCAGAGCAAAAGCTTTCCCCTGCGGGGGGGGGGGGAGAAGGGCAGCTCTGAGCTCCCTTGGCAGCAGCACCCCGAGCACAGGCGCCCACCGGGTGCTGCTGCAGCCCCAGCGATCCACGGGCTCGCAGGGAGCGGGGAAGAATCCGGGAAGTTTTGCATGAGAAACGCTTCAGCTCTGGCGATGCATTTGTAATGCACCAGCTGGGGCTTTGATCTTAATTAAGAGGGAGCCCGGCCGGGGAGAGCTGCCCGGCTTTGAGCTGCGCTTCCAGTACCGCAGTTTCCGTCCCATCGCTGCTGAGCCGCGGGTTCGGCTCTGGGGCTTTGCTGCTTGAGGAGATAGTGAGGAAATAGCGAGCACAGGACCCCTGCATGGTTCTCAGGTCGTGCCCTCCTGCTTTGCCAGCTCCCCTGGCAAAGGGCATCCCTAGCAGCTCGGCTTCTCACGCTGTGCCTGCCGTGACCGGGCTCTGAGCACACAGACGGTGCTGGCGATGAAGGAAGGGAGCTGTGACTTGTTCTGCTCCAAAAACCCAGCTGCTTTTGAACTCTTGTTTCAGTAGCCAAGTATCCCCCTCTCTCCCTTCTCGTTCAGTGAGTCCCCAGGTTAGTTCATTCCCTTTTGCTGCTTGGTATCCCAAGCAGAGAAGTTGCCCTGCCCGGTGCCAAGTTACCATTCTCATGGGGCTAAATTCAGGAGTCTGCTTCTCGCCGACGCAGTCGTAGCAGAGTCTGAGAAGTAACGTCCTGCACCAATTCACTGACCCCTTAGGCAGCTTCCAAGCGCATCAATGTTTAAGCTACCTCCCTGCTGCATGTGAAATAGTGCAGCACTGAGTCTACACTATCCTGATGGATGGAATGGAGGGATTGTCATCTTTCAGTGAATGGTTAACAATGAATTGATCTCTCTGGTGCTGCTAAGACGTTTACCTTGTCATGGAACCAGGCAGTGCTGTGAGCTGGTGTTTGTGTACGTGTATATCACTGCTTGTGCAACACCAACACACCACCAAAAGAGCTGTTCCTGCTTTGATGGGGCTGGGTTCTTTGGGGTTTTGCTTCTTGTTCTGAATCAACAGCCAAAGTTGTGCTGTAAGTTATAAAATTGAGCAGAGAGCAACACAGCAATTCTAATCATCAGAACATCGTGAGGGTGTCTTTTATGTGGTTCAAATCTGTCAAGCATATTTTGAAAGCATATTTTGCAGTGAGCTCAGTCTTTATATCCACATCTGGAGCCGCAGCTCACAGAGAGCGGCACGTTCAACAGCTCTGCAAGGAGTTTCAGAACTCCCTGTTACAGCTCCTTGAGTGAGCGTTCCACATTCCTGTGTCCCAGGCAGCTTCGATACCGACTCCTGGCACAATACCTGACCCCAGAGCCCGTTTTCACATCATACGTGCTCATCCTATGTGTGCTTATGTATGTTGGCAACACATGTTGGTGCTTGTTGGAGCCAGCCAGCACCTCTGCCCAGGGAAAGCCCACCCAGCAGGCATTCAGACAGCTGCCTATGGAGGGGAGTGAAGAATGTGTTACTTCATCTGAGTGTGTCAAACCAGCCCTGAAAGCACCTTGCCTGCAGCCAACAGAACCTATTTCTAATGGGCTGAGCTGGGTCTGGTTTTTGGCTTGCTGTGCAGACAGCTCCGTCCATGTAGAAACATCTTTAATAGGCTCCTGTTAAAATGCCCCTTCCCAGATGCATGTCTCTGATGGTCCCTCCTCAGCGCCAGGCTGGCTATGGTTGCTGTTAACATCCCTGCACCAGGTTCCATAAGGCACAGGAACAGTGCTAAACCAGGCCAGCTTTCCAGAGGGAGAAACCCTGCCTGTTGAGATGGAAAGTGGCCCTGGGCAGCCTTCCCCTGCAGTGGAGTGGCTTTGCTCCAAGGAGTTTCCCACGCCGGGTTATCCATTGTTGTGGAGTCTTCACCTCTGCAGGCACCCGGGGATTGAACTTTGTCTCCCTGTGCCTGTCTAGTGCTGACCTTTGGTGTCTAACCTCACCCGTGCCCACCAGGCACAAGACAGTCTGTGGGGGCCCTTCTTAGCCTGCTCCTCCCATGTCCCTCGGGCAGAGTTGTCAGCCAGCAGGCAGGGTCCCTGCCCCATCACCTCCTGCTGGGTGCTCCCCTGCCCAGCTCCTGGCTCCTCTCTGCCTGATTTGGGGTTATGCAGAATATCCCTGGTGCATTCAGAACATCACAGCCTATTCCAAACCCTGTGGTTTGTGAAGTGACTCTCCAGGAAGCCCTCAGAAACCACATAAACTCTGCCGTTAGCCTCACCCTGAGGAGCAGCCAGCCCTTCGCTGCTCCTGGGTGGGAGCTCGGGGATGCGCTGGTGCTGTCGCAGCTCCGAGAGGCAAAGCCCTGCAGACAGGGCAGGCTCAGACATGAGAGCTGGGAGATTCACACATGGAGAAGGAAAAGGCCACGACTCCAGAGCTTGGATCGCTACTTTTCCAGCCCCATGGAGATGCCGGCACTGGCTGAGATGGAAGGAGACGAGTGCCTGGTAGCAGATGGACAATTTGGTGCAGAAATCTGTCCCAGGCTGGTGGGAGACTTGGAGTGGGATTTGAGTCTCTGCTTGGCTCCCCATCCCCAATTCCTGAGCTCTGTGTTGTGGGTAAAAATGAGATGGGAACCACAGAAGACATTATTCAGGGAGGGGGGAAACTGCAGATGGCAAACGTGTGTAAAGCACATGTGCGAGAGAGGTCCCTCTCCAGCTAGCATGAGAAACGAATCCCTCTTCTTCCCTTCCAGCCATGTTTCCAGGTCTGTGTCTCCCACTACGACATCTCAGATACAAGCCAGGAAGAAGAGGAGAGGGGTGAGTCTCATTTATGTTGCCCAGGGTGGTTGTGCTATGTCTCCCAGGGGAGCTAGGTTGTTTGCAAGGGCTCCCTGTGACATCCTCTGCATGCAGTGGGCACGTCCTTACTGTGGGAACACAGTGGAAAATGAACTTCACAGTGTTCCTGCTCTATCTCCTGTGAAATTCTCCCCACAGCCACACAGAGACTTACTTTGAGGAGGTTTGGCCTCAAATTTGGCAGGAAAGGGTGGGGATGGGATGGAGGAGCGTTGTTTCACTGTGGTTATCACAGCAGTCAAGGTTTCTGTGCTCAGTTTTTGCACCAAAACCACTTACATGGCCCTGTTCTAAGCACCTCTCCCAACCTGCCTTAGCTGGTAACAAGCTGTGAAGCTGTGGCCATAAATGACCCTGGTTTCTTCTCTCCCCTTGGGAATCTCCTGCAGATCATTGAGAAGCGGCGCCGGGACCGGATCAACAGCAGCCTCTCGGAGCTGCGGCGCCTGGTGCCCACCGCCTTTGAGAAGCAGGTGAGTGTGTCCCTGATTCCCACCTTTCTTCGCATCTGGGCTGTCTGTCTTATCATCATCACTGCAGGGACTACGTAGGTGGTGAAAGTGGGTGGCAAAACAATATTCCCAAGTATTCAGGAGCCCTGGGGAGGATAAAGTCAATCCAGGAAGTGTTTTGGATAAACCAGATATGAAGATGCCCAGAAATGGGCTTTTACAATTTGCATCTGGGCACCTTAGGAGGGATGTAAAAACCAGAGCCAGTGTTCTGGGTGGATGCTTTGCTCCATCTGAGTGCTTCTGGACTTCAGGAAGGTTTTGGAGGGGAGTGGTCACTGGGCAGCTCCCGAGAGGCACAAAACCCCAGACCATAAAATGATGAAGTGCTCTTTTTCCTGCTCCCAACACACAGGGGTCTTCCAAGCTGGAGAAGGCAGAAATCCTACAAATGACAGTAGATCACTTAAAAATGCTTCACGCTACTGGAGGAGCAGGTAAGAACTGCACGTGTGTGAGGTGAAGGCAAAAACTGGAAGGGAAATTCCCCTTCAGCCTCGGCACCAAGCAGTATCTTGATGCTGGCGTGCCCAGCTGACACCAGCCGGCACCAAACTGACTGCTGCCCTGTCTGTTTCCCAAGGGAAATGCCCTTTGAGGGATGTTTCCATGCATCCATTTGGCAGACAGTGGTATATGGGATGGCCAATCCCACAGACCCATGGGGATGGTACCACTGTCACTGTCACACACTCTGCTAAAAGCAGTGCAGCCAGGGTCGTGCCTGGTCCTGCTCTGCTCACAGAAAAGTGGTATTGAGCTCTTTACCTCCTCCTGGGATACATTTCCTGCAGAGGCTGGATTCTGCATGGGGACTCTGCAAATAAACAAGGCTTTTTTCCCTCTCTTCCTCTTTTTGTGTGTCTCTTGGTTGTTATAAGAAGAGAGAGGGAGCCCTGTGCAAAATTCAACAAAGGTCTTATTTGTACTGAGACCTCAGTACAGACCCTCTGTCCTGTTCCAGTTAACAGGATGGAGATCACAGCTCCAGTAAAGAAGCCTCTGGCTTGCTTACCACCCGGTTTTGGCTTGCTGGGGACATTGCTGGCATCCAGGCTTTGGTTCAGAGCTGTAACTTGGTCTGGAACATTTGTTTAGATATTCAGTTTGACTGCACTGCAACAAAGGGCTGTATTGTCACGAGAGACCCCGTCAAGCAAAGTGGTCCAAACGCTTCAGTGCTGTGACATTCTCTGCTTTATTGCTGATCGTCTTACGGAGCTGCAAGTAGGGAGCTGAAGCCTAAAAACCAGCCGTGGGTTGCATTTTATCCTGTTAATTTCTGTGGCTTTGAGCTTTCTTGGCCCAGTGGTTTTGGTCTGCCACTGTCCCGTGTCCTTCAGCCGGATATGTGCTTAAATGAAGGGTAAAAATTGGGACCTAGGCAGAGGAAAATGGTGCTAAGCTGAGCATGGGGAGACCCAGCGTCCCACCAGTCTGCAGGACCAGAGATGGTCTATTTGCAAAGACCCAGTGCCCATCTGGCCCACAGACCTGTCTCCAGCAGCGATAGTCCAATAGGAAAAATTCCTTCCTGAGCACAGTTAATGAAACCTCTTACTTGTCTCATATGCTGGAGTAAGAGGCTTCATGACCTTGGCAGTTCTATCCCGATGAGATAACCACAGATGCTATTCTCACGCATGCAAATGTCCAGTCCTGGACACCCACTTGGCTGGCTGTGTCAGGAATATCACCCGGCAGCAAAGTGCCTCAAGTGAAATACACAGTGTGTTAGAGAGGGTAGTGAAATCCAAGCACATTCCTGAGCTCCGCATGGACTTCTTCTCACTGCTTCCTCTCCCTACAGGCTTCTTAGATGCTCGAGCTCTTGCCGTGGATTACAGGAGCATCGGCTTCCGCGAATGCCTCACTGAAGTTGTCAGGTACCTGGGCATCCTTGAGGGTCAAAACGCCACTGACCCCATACGGCTGCGCCTCCTCTCCCACCTGAATAATTATGTGGCAGAAATGGAGCCTTCGCCTGTGGCCACTTCGCTCCTGCCCATCCAGACGTGGCCGTGGTCCTTCCTCCACAGCACTGCTGGCCCCGTGCAGATCCCCAGGAGGGAGGCTGCTCCCGCTCCGGTTGTTTTGACTGCATCTTCCCTGGCTTACCCCAGCCCTGCTGTGAGACCAGCCCCGCTTCGCCGTGTCCCCGGCGACATGCTGCCATCCCGCCGAGGCTTCCTGGCCAGCAAGATGGGCTCTTCCAGCCGCAGGGCCCGGGGTGCAGGCTCATCTGCAGCTGTAGCAGCCGTGCCCAGGATGCCAGCACCAGCGGGTGCATTGAGAGAGGGCTCATCCAAGAGCAGCCAAATCGCCACGTTCCTCTTCTCACCAGCCTCCGCCGGCATCCCCATGCCACCGGCTTACACAGCACCTCCTGCCTTGGGCGCTGCCACGCAGGGACCTGGGATCAGGGTTGGGACATCGAGGATCTGCCGCTCCTGGGCGACTGAAATCGGAGCTTTCTGACCCTCCCATTTGGAGACGGGAATTCTTCAGCACTCATTGCCTACAGGCCTAAGAACAAACTCAGCTGAAAAGGCATCTTTCCTGCTTTGCAAAAACCAAGGATCCATAAAGAAAATCCTCTTTACTCTTCCCTCTCTCCTCGCACCACCTTTCCTGCCTCACCATCACACGTTCTCTCCCTCATGATGCCAGCAAACAGGAATCACATACAATTTGATACACCTGTCTGCACGCAGCTACCCCCAGATCCTTCCAGCTACAGCAGAAGGGGCACATGCAGATCCCAGCCCTGTTCCACCTCCAGCAAACCACTCTGCAGAGCCCTTTGGAAAAGAGCTAGCCTTGAAATACTTTTATTTCCCTGGGGGCCCTGAGCTGCCAGACAGACTTGCTTATGCCGTTGCCCTGCGATGTGTCCCCCAGCTGCAGCACCTAATGTGCTTCCCTTATCCCCAGCACTGCTGGCACCCCAGCTACAACCCCCCCAGCTCCCTTAGTGAACTGCCTGCCTGTTAATCCCCATGCTTTCCTCACTGCATTACAGCTTTCCCCACTTATGTGCCCTTAAGGTGGAGTGAGGCAACAGCTTAACAGAGCTTGTTCCCACAGCCGGGCTGGAATTCCGCCGGATTCCCTGCACAAACCATGCAGGAGCAGCCGGCCAGGCCTGTGCAGCCCCCACTCTGCACTGAGGTGTGAAGAGACGAGCCGGAGGATTTCAAAGGGATGTCAGTCACGGAGGGGAAGGCGCTGATGGCCAAAGTGAGAAGAAAAGGCCTTTCCCTTTGCCAGTATCTCCTCCATCCCCTGCTGAACAGCTGTGACTGCAAAGGGGGAGAATGGGTCAGAAGGGCCTGCATTTGAAGTGCCTCCCTTGTTCTCTCTTAGCCCTGCACCCCCCCAGGCTTTCCTCCTGTTTTCTTCAGCACTGTGTTTTGGTCTCACATTGCTCATTCCTCTCCCTGGGCCAGGACCAAAGCCCACTGAGGTTTCACTGCAAACCTTGGCAAGCCCTGGGGCTGCACTTGTCCCGAGTCCCAGGAGATTTTTCTGCCTTGGCCTGCGTGCCCCAAGGTAACTGACACAGCAGATGCTGCTCCTCCAGTGGTCCTCCCCTCCTCTCCTCTAAGCAGAAAGGCACAGGGGCCACCCTGCTCCTATGCCACATCCTGAACTCCCGTAGTGTCCAGGACAGGAAGTCTCAGTGCTCCTACTTGTCTGAGCAGCCCCTGCTCCTGCATCTGTGCCTTGACTTGCTGGGATGCACAAGCAGAATAGCCTGGACCCAGTTGCATGCCCGTGCCAAGGAGTCTCACCCCCCTCTACAGCACTGTGACAATAAAAGAAGGAAAAGTATGGAGAGGTCAGTGGAAAGAAAATAAAGAGGGAGTTCTCTCTTGAATGGGAGCGGCTCTCCCCATGCCTCAGGTCAAACACGCAGCAGCTGGTTAGACTGTGGATGAGCTGGTGTTTGCCTTCCTGCAGATTGCATCTGTCATGTGCATGGCAATGTGTCTATCTGCTATTGTTTGGGAAGTGAGTGCCTCCCAGTTGTTTTGATGGAAGTCATCACACAACACACAGAAAAGCCTCGGCTGCTTCTCCCCGCCCTTGTCCTGAAGTGCCAGGAACAGCGTATTCCTTGTTAACGAAGCCAGAGGAGGTCCTCATGGACCCCAGTTGTTCCTGCAGCTGGTCGGCACACTCGAGCTCACAGCAAGTAGCCCAGCCTCACTTTACACTGTGGAGAGCTGTTAGATTCACGAGCTGTGACATCCAGCAAAGGTGTCAAATAAAGTCTTTGAAACCCCTGTCCTGGTTGTGAATGTAGTGTTGATGTGACTCTGTTCTGCTCATCTGGCCTGCTCCTTCTGCAGCAGGTGAGCTTGTGTTCCTTAAAAGCTTCAGAGAAGGTGAGGTGGGGCTTGTCCCTGCTGGTCATTTTATAGCTGCTGCCCTCTGGTCCCCTGACTTTTGACTTTGCAAACCATTCTGTGAGTCAGACTTAGCCGGAGAGGCAGCAGCACTTGCACTCAGACTGGCAGCCATCTGTGGGTTGAGAAGGAATGATTTCATTTAGCAGCATCTACAGAAATATCAGTGGCCAAATGGGGTCTGGTGGAGCCCGGCAGCCAGGCGCCTCAGCCTCCTGAGCCTTTGCAAGCAGGAGCAGAATAACCCCGGCTGCATCTTGCTGTTGGGAAATGCTTTGGGCTGAACAAAGAGCCACAGCTGAGAGCTGCTCTGTCTTGAGGAAAAGACCAGCAAATGATCCTTCTCGTGAAAGATGCTGGGAGAATTTTGTGGGGAATGGTGGGAATTCGACTTCCTTTCCCATAACTCCTTCTCACTCCAAAATGCCTTTCAAAACCGCCCATAAATCCCTGCCTTAAGTGCTGTGTTGGGAATTGCTGGAAGGGAGCAACTGCAGCTGTGATGGAGTAATGTAGCATCCGTCTGGAAGGGGAGAGAAACTTCAAGAGCAATAATAGGGCCATTGATGCCGGGTTGTCCTGCTGGTGCCTGGGCTGCCCTGACCCGGCTGGAGGCAGTGGTGGGAGCTCAGTGCTCTGGTGTGGCCTTGGCTGGGGAGAGCAGCGGAATTGCCCTCGCTGTGGGAGGCAGGCACAGACCAGCCCCGCGGGCTGCGCTGCTAAACCAAAACAGAGGCACTGGAACAAAACCACTTCCTGATCTCTGCTGATCAAACGGGAGCCGGAGCGGGTGGGAGGGCATGGGTTCAGGCCCGTGGGGTTTTCTCCCCACAGCACCATGGTGATTAGAGCAGTAGCCCGGGACTGGAGCTTAATTTTTTTTCCCAGGGTCTTCTTCAGCCTAAACGTCTGCTCTAACACATCCTGGCAACTTTTGATCTACCCTGTAGGGGAAATCCCCAAACTCTCCGTGCACTCTCTTCATCCTTGTTCTTCAGGCAAAGGAAAACATAATGAAGAGGCCTATGGGAATGTGTGGGCTGGCCCCGTGGCATGCAGCGCTCTGGAGCACGGCTCCAGCTCCCACAGCGGCGAGGCTGGCATGAAACAGGGTCCTGACGAGCCAGCCTTTGCTGCTGCTCGGAGGGCACCAGGCCACTTCCAGGCTGCAGGAGTTCTGTTGTGCAGGGCGGGTCGGGCTCTCCCGAATTCCCCTGCATGGCAAACGGTGCTTACCTGGTGCTCCTGCCCGCTGCGGGTGCCGGCTCCCTCCTGCCAGCCTTCTTCCACTCGTGGTGCAATCCCGGCCTGCCCTCTGCTGGTGAAATGCCAAGGCTCAGGAGGAGAATTCCCAAAGCAGGGTCAGGGTTTGGTCGAAATCTTGCCACCCGCGTTGAAAACCGGATGCTGTCTCGTGAGGACCGGCAGGGATGAGGCACCGTTCACATACACGGGAGCAGAGCGGCTTGCGAGGGTGATGGCTCTCACACAGCATCATCGATGGGGACACACGGGCAAGATGAAGACATCAAAACCTTCACTCTAGGCACGGCTGAAGGTCTTGAGAGGGCAAACTGGGAGGCTCCTGTTGGTCATCGGGGGCAGCTGCCCTCTTGTGTTGAGGGTACCAAGAGGAGTGGGGTCCCTGGGGCAGTTTTGGGCCCTCGTCAGCAGAGGATACCCCCAGGTCATCACTTTGTGCTAAGAGAGAGGACACAGTTGTCTGCATGGTGTCCCCTGGGAGGGGATGCGAATGTCAATGATGGTTCAAATAAAAGCCATTCTCAGCGTAGCCACAGCAGGGCCTTGCAGCCAAAGCTGTGTTTTGTCTTTAGCTACTCCAAACTCCTGCCACAGCCAAGCCGCTTGTCTCAGCCTGGGGTTTCACAGCTCAGGAGATGCTGGGCTGTGGAGGACCAAGTGTGATCCCAACAGTGTTGCATCCCAGCACCGCTGGGAAGATCAGCTCAGGAGAAGGATGATTTGCATCTGAAGAAAATAACCTGGACCAAAAATAGTGCAGAATAGTACAATTTGCTTTGCTATTGTTGCTTTTTATTTTGTTATTCTCCATTATTCCACTGTAATGAAGGGATAGGTGTCATATCCCTTATATTATGTCATCTCCCACTTTTAAAGCATATTAAAGGCAAGGTCATGTAGAATCAAGAAGTCACAGCAGACCAGCCTCTGCAGACTTTCCTAGTCCCCCTTAAGAGGACATCCATGTGCCCAAAGGTCGTTGATGAATCACCAAATCCCATGCTGCTGCATCCTCACGCTCTGCTGAAGATGCTGGAAACAGATCATTCCGGGTCTCCTCAGAGCTGGATCCCATGAGGATGAAGCTGTGGGACAGTGCAGGGGAGGGGGGAATCCCTCCCTTTTTGCAGTAGATGATGCTGTGATTTATTCAGTGCTCGGAGCTGTTCAACCCTCACCCTGGAAGAGCGAGTTTTCCACAGGGACCCTCGGTCCTGCGCCAGGGCAGCCCCTGATGGGAGTTGGTGCAGGAGCTCACACTGATGCTCTGGAGAGGAGGAGGCTGTGGGAAGAGCTCCAGCCACGGCCGCTCATCTCCCTGCCATCCACACCTCCAACACCGCAGCTTGAAGCAGAGACAAAAATCATCCCAGAGGAGCTGTTTGCTTCCTTGGTGTCTTCCTCTGCTCATCCTGCTCCTTGTCCCCATCAGCCAACACTGTCCTGTCTGGTGGTGGGATTGAGCTGCCCTGTGAGACATCGGCATGCAGGGGATGGGATGGGAAACACCCCCAAGCTCACCCTTCACGGTGCTGTGGCTGTGGGTGCGTGTCCCCCCATGCAGGATTTCACCCTCAATCAAGCGCTGAGCAGGGACAAGGCTTTGGTATTGCTCAAGGGGCCATGGGGTCAGGACATGGCCTGAGCTATAAACCTGCACTGCTGCCTCCAAACACCGCCCGGGGGCTGCTTTCTGTGACAGCCACAGAGATCTGAAGGATTATGAAGCCAGGCTGAGGACATTGGGGCTGTTTGGCTGCATGGGGACAGCAGCTTCCAGTGTCTGAGGGGGGCTACAAGGATGCTGGAGAGGGGTTCTGCATCAGAGACTGGAGCAACGGGACAAGGGGTGATGGGTTCAGACTGAAACAGGGCAAGTTCAGGTTGGAGATAAGGAAGTTCTTCCCTGTGAGGGTGCTGAGGCACTGGCACAGGGTGCCCAGAGAAGCTGTGGCTGCCCCATCCCTGGCAGTGTTCAAGGCCAGGTTGGACACAGGGGCTTGGAGCAAGCTGCTCTAGTGGAAGGGGTCCCTGCCTGTGGCAGGGGTTGGAGCTGGAGGACAATCAGGTCCTTTCCAACCCAAACCATTCTATTAAGCAGCTGTTGTGTTTATTTCTTGGGCTGGTCGCTGGCTGGGGCGAGGCGGACACCCCCGAGAGGGGAAGGTGGCCGTTGTGAGGGGCTGGGGTCTGAAGCAGAGCACCCGGCCTCCAGCAGCATAGCACTGAGGGTTAAGTGTTCACCGTGAGGGGACAGAACTTCCCCAAGGGATTCCTGCACTGGAAATAAACGGAAGCGCAGCCTGTCCTGTGGCACACAAGGAATGCCACAGGAGCGAAGGTGACTGCAGAGCGATGCCGCGGGGCCGCCATGTCCCTCATGAGGGTAGCCCAGCGCCCACCCCAAAATGGCGGCCGGCACCCGCGAGCCCCCTCAGCGCGGGCTGGCCCCGCCCCGCCCCGCCCCGCCTCAGGCCGGGCGCGCTGCGGTCCTCCCCCCCGCTGGGGTCGCTGCAGCGGGCGGCGGCGGCGCGCAGGCCGCGGGGTCGCTCCCCGCCGGGCCCCGGTGGCGGCTATAAAGGGGCGGCCGCAGGGCGTTCCGCTCTCTCCGCTTGCCGGGCCGCTGCGCGTGAGTCGGTGTCGGGCCCGGCGCCGCCGCGGGGCAGGGCCGGGGGAAGGGGTGGGGGGGGGCACGGGG